TAGCCCTAACTAATTCGTTTGCATACAGGTCCTACAGACCTAAAACGTTATAATGAACTACTGGTTTAGCTAGCAGGACTAGCAGAAGCAGTTCAGGTAATCGCACCCAGCTTTTAAAGCCAATCGCCCCATGCCTAGGTAGTTTCTAAGCCCACTCACCATTAGGGGTCAATATAAGCGGAGTTATTTTACATTATTAACGCACCACCTCAGGCATTCCACCTAACAGACGATATAGTCATTACAGCCACCTTAATTAATTAAAGCTATTCCCATAACTCATCTGTCAACTCAGCTTAATCACCTATAATAAAACCATATAAGCCCTTTTACTAAAGCAGAAAATTAGTAGAATAAAGACCCATTAACCTTAGTCTTATTAATTAGCCTATCCCGTATTAGACAACTTAACGGCTTATGTAAGACCAAGCTTGTCATTAATTAAGAAGATAAAGTGCGTATTCCTAGCTATACAGCTTCCTAGGCGTGCCAACATAGTAACAGAAGGTAATTAGGCTGGCAAAACATTACAAATAGTAGAATAAAATTAAACATAGAGTTTTAGGATTATCACGTAATAAGAAATAATAAGGCCATGTAAAGACATATAAGAGGTAATAAGATTTAGGTATATAACAAGAGAGGACTAAGAGAGTAGAAAAAAAGCTAAATAAAAGAAAAAAGAAAAAAGAAAAAAAGAAAAAAAGAAAAAAACAAAGAAATTAAATACGTAAAGATAAGCTTAGATTCTTAGGAAACATAACAAGCAGTCTTACTAGCTATAGAAAAAGTAAATCCGTAATTACTTTTTAATATTTAGTCTAACAAGCAGACACATATACACACAGTACTTAACACCCCTTTAAGGCAAACGCAGCTCATTGCATTTTTTCACACTAGAGAATAGAGCGCGGTTAGTAGACCTAGTCTATTCAAGCCTACGTATAATAGCTGTCTGTAAAGACCTGGCCTAGGCTATATCTACCTCTGCTACCTTAGCTGGGACCAGTAAAGCGTTATAGAGGATAAGGACAAGTAGAATTTGTTAGAAAACAAATTACCTAAAGGGATTAGCTATTTTAAACACTAGGTAAAATCAGCCTTTAAGCGTTAGCAGGACAAGTACATCAAGGACATCCTAAATAAACAGAACCGCAACCAGAACTAAACGCGCATGTTAGAGGTAACATGCAGCAGGAGGCCAAAGCAGCAGAGGAAGATAGCAACTAAGTAGACAACGTTATGATTAAGCTGATAAAACAGGGCTCTAGGGACTCTCTCTAGGGAGGTTTGAAGCGCCTGCTCCAGCTGATCCGCAGGGCCCCATCACCATCACCACAGTGCTAAGGCTTAGCCCACTACGCTTTAAGCTTCTGACCGCAACAGTACAAGGAATAACAGGTGCAGATAGTGGCGGCAACTCAGCGTCAACCAAGACAGGACAGCCGCAGCCTTTAGCAACAACAGCTAGGTACATTAACATGCAAGACTTAAGGGAGTTTTATAATTAGTACAGGACCGTCCGCCGGCGTCAAGCAAGATACAGTGATTAACTTAGCGAGCAGTGATATAAAGGGGGATAAGAAGTTAGACACAAGGTGCCGTATAGTTTTAGACTAAGTAAGTAGGTAGACTAGTTATTAATATTATATAGTAGTAATAAGCCAACAAGGAATTAATTAGTATTAGAGATACAAATAAGATAATATATAGCTACAGAGTGCTTGTTTACTGTTTTGTACTCTAGCCCGTTAATATAACCTAGCATTGTTTTATTCAAGGTGTAATTAAGCTAAAATATTTAACAAATAGGCGTCTTATAGGCTGCTCTTATTCTTATATAAACCTTATAGATAATTAACCTATACATAATACCTACAAGTCCTCTCCCAGAGGCCCTATTAACCACCCTCCCCAGAAGATCTTCATACATACATAGCGTACGCCCGGTTTTGTCACCCAGGCTAGCTGTACGCTAACTAAGTTGACTCGCAGGGTACTCTTCAATATGTGCGTCACGAAGGTAAAGTAAACGCAGGTGATAGCTTCCGCGTCAACCTAGCCCCCTTTACTAAGGTAAACAGAGCGCCTTATAACATCAGCATAGGGGCCTCCAGGTCATTATTACAACACTCAATAGCGAAAAAGCTTTAATTTTCGGAAATATTACCCTTCTTCTTATCATAATCGTTAAAGAGGCCGCTACCCTAGTGGCTCTAGCTGTTCTAGTTTGCAGGGCCTTAAGCGTAGGCTATACTATCTCTACTAAAAGCACTACGGTTACTATTTTTTAGGGTACCAAGCGTAAAATAAGCAAGCTTAAGAAGCAGGTGCTTGTTTTTGTAAATCGTAATCCTTTGTCTTCATAAATAAAGCACCAAGCTCTTAGGCATACTATAAGGCTTAGCGTTTAGGTTTAAGGACTATAGCTATCACAAGTTAAGTAGAACATACAGTTAGACATTAGAGAATTTAGGTTAAAAGGCTTAATTCTATAATTATAACTATAGAATAAGTAATACTATATATATAGCTAAGATACACAACTAATAAGTAAAACATTACGTAATAAAGAAAATAACAAGACAGTTACAGACTATAGAAAGATAAAGTCATTATAACAGTAGCTATAAGCTATCTCTCTTATTTAAGTAACTACTACTCTATTAAATACGTGTTAGGTTACAGAGTAGTGGAACTAGTTACTAACAGGACCAATATAACTGTCACTTTAGCCTATAGTAAGGAACTAACCGTCTGGGTTGTATTTAGTAGCTTGTGGTTAGGCTATTCTCTGGCTAAGTCTCGCGAACAGGTGGACCTCTGTATTATATTATAACTGACTGAGAGTAGGTTCAAAATGACCTGCCCTAGGCTTCTAGAAATCTCAGCTGTATTCCGTATAGTCTGTTCCTCTGATGATCCCATGTCACTAGGAGCCGCCGCCATGACTTAGCTTTGTTATCAGGTCCGGTTTCTCGCCTCCATAGCTGCCCTCAAGGTATTAGAGTAGGGTGAGGCGATCAACCCAGATAAGATTAAACAGGTGACCAATCGGCAGAATTTAACAACCGATCAGCGTCACAAAGATATAAGCCAGAGCGCGATAGAGACAGGAAAATCATGTATATTTCTACTTTCCTACACAGGCCTACCTTTGCCTAATTAGACCAGAGCCTTCCTATAATCTACCCTTAGACGTAATAACACAAGACGATTAGGAGCTTCTACTTGCCTAAATCAGTGTACTATTATAACTAATCAGAATCCTTAACCCTCATGATTCAGGTTAAGCCTAGAACAATTAGCACGATTTGTACACTAATTGGCAAGGAATCTTGTGTTGCTTTTAGTGGTTGTGGTGTTCTGTATAGTCACCGCACCGCAAGAGTCCCATCATACCCTACGCGCTTTCAGTATCTATATTCTTTTCTATGTCCGAGGCACTTTCTATACTAGCGCGTGCGAGCGCTTCTACCTCTTGTATAGAAACAGCTCTTCTAGATGCCATGTGGGGCGAGTGTGGAGGTGCGATATTATGCCTTTACGTATTGAGTATGCAAGCAGACGAGTCTTATGGGCTTTAGAGGCGGCATATGAAAGGGGAGGAAGCTTGGGGCGTGAAGCCGCCCTTATGATGGTAAGCAGAGCTGAGGGGCTTTGATATTTATCCCCATCTGCCTCTCGGAGAATAGTGTGTAGTTCAGCTACCTCTACCTGACCACCACTCTTCTATCCTGGTACAAGGACACAAGCAGCTTAAACAACAATTTCAACTTTGTCTAAAGACACGTGTGCCCTCCCCAAAGTGTTAGTAATGTGACAACAGGCCTACCCTTGCTGAACAACTAGATATAAGTTCTGAGGATGATGAGGCCGTCAGGCTGGGGAAGCTAATGCGGAAGGCGGATTGGAAAAGGAGGACGCAGAAAAAGAACTGCAACATTTGTGCTAAGCAGGCTCCTATAGATACCACCCTATCTAATTATAATATATATATAACTATACACTAGTTCCTTGTGCTTCTATAGCTGTTTAATAGCGGCGATAAGTTAGATAATTCTGTTAGGCTGTAGTTCTGGACAGCTAGCCGCTATGCTGTGCTTTAAGAGGCGGTCAGCGTGGGGGAACATAAGTTGACTGTTGGAACAAGGGACCAGGTGGCGAAGAAAGCGGCCGCTGACTACGGCTGACCTCTAGATAGATCTAGGAAGAATTAGCGCCAACTTATAAAGTCTTATAAAGGACCTTGATCAGGCGACCGAGATGACGCATGTGACAGAGACAAACAAGGGTGTGTTGGATACAGCGGATGCTTTTGTAGGCGATTTTAAGAGGGCATTTTTTCCTAATTCACTTGTTAGTTTATTAAGTTAATTATAAGCTAAGCTGTGTTTGTTTGTTAGTGCTGCTAGACTGTAGAGAAACTAAGGACAAGGTTACCTGTGAAGCAAGCTTTCCCTTTAATGTGACCATATCTGACTTGTAGGACGTCTGCTTGAGACTTTCTAGTTAGTTACCTCCCCTAAAGCCGTTGTTGTTATTTGTATTGTCGTCCTGATACTGGGGCTTCCTTGCACTTATGTGAGTGTTGCTGAGGACCTCTATCGAGATAGTTAGCGTGCCTAAGTCTTGGATGGGATAAAGAGGACGCTGTTCCTACGCGTCTGTGTTGTGCTTAGGTAAAGATTAGAGAGCTAAAGAGATAGGTATAGAGGAGGCTATGAAGCAGGTATAGTCTATAGCCGAAGCGGTTTGGAGCCTGGAGACACGATGTCTTGTTACTAAGTGACGTGAAGATGCAGTTGCGCGTGCTGGGTGGCACGAGCTAGCTAGATCTTGCTAAATGAATGGAACGTGTCCTTTGCATTACCTGAGCCACATGGCGTATGGTAGGAGACGACTTGCTGATGCCCAAGACAGATGACAACAAACTTGCAAACGACGTCACAACAAGTGACGACGCCACAGACGTGGGCAATAATATAGCGGACAACGATATGGCGATCGACAATGGGCTGAACCAAGACAAGACGAACGACGGCAGCTTCACCAATATGACAATGGTGGGCCCGGCCTTTTTTCCGAGTTATCCCACGACCTTACAGCACCACCCAGAAGCTCAAGGTCCAGAAGTTGAGGTCACAAGTAGATGTCAAGAGTACGCAGGTTCAGCTATGCTGGCACAACTACACGCAGACCCAAAAACATGCGGAATGTCAACTAACCTCCTCTCAGCACGTCAGCTTCTGCTCAAGAAGCCCGCCCGACCTCGCCTCCAAGATGGTCAGGTTGCACCGCCCACGTCAAGGGAATGGCTGCGCTGGTAAGCCATTAACGTATGCAGCGGGAATCTTCCAACTCGCTGCCTTACACGGCGTCCGTAGTGTTAAAGAGTCAAGTATTACAGTCCAACCCCCCAGGTAGCTAGGTAGGTTCACCCACTAGCCATTCTACTTACTAATTATCCTTAATCCTCCAGAATACCGCCCAGCCATTGCCTGTTTTCCATCAAATTCCCCTCCGTTAAGCGCCGCGGTTACAGTCCGAGAGCCTTACGAGCGATCTATTGTCCACTATCCCCCCAAGCTCTATCGCGGAGCAGCTTGACGTCGCAAGCTGTTCACCTTAGCTGCCTGCTGCAGTTACGAGTACGGCTTGGCCAGAGAAATGTTCCTTGCTGCAGATTATAAGAGACGTCAGTATTGCAATCCAGGTGTTAGCCGTCCCAAGGAGACTTACCGTAGGCAATTTTAGGCCTAGGGACTATGCCGTAGAGAAGATTGTTAACATTAGCGTCAAACTTGTCACCAAAGAACAAATAAATGTACTTAGTGTGCGCCGTATAAATACAGCACAACCTGTCCTGTATCTTAAAGATTACTACGTAGTGCCTAAAATAGAAGGGCTGCGCCGCAAAGGACAACACGTAGGAGCCGGTTGAGAACCTTGGAAAATGCAGTTCTATGATCATAACTGCCTGCCTGCCTGCCTGAAGCGAAGGCGGCCGGTGGGCACCCGCTAATACAAATGACAATAGAAATGAGATATTGAAGGCTTAAGCTAGACGGGAGAGCGCTTTAAGCTGGGTTTCCATTTGTAGATGCTTGAGATGCACTGAATCTGTTGGAAAATAGATTAGAATAACTGCAATACTGACATGTCCTTGTATGTTCCCTTGGTCAGGTAACAGTAGATATTGTTAATCGAGATGGATTCTGCTGCTGCACCTATAGAGAATATGCATCCCTGTGATACTCAGCGTCAGGATCTCGAGTTTGCCTAAAGGTAAGCCCGATCTAAGAGTGCGACCCACCTTGCGCGCCGTCTGCAATGATCTAAAAGGATAGCAACAAAGCATGGAAAAAGCGACCTGGCGAGGGTGGCCTAGAGGGATAGGAGACTACAAGGTTGAGGGCATGGTTTTAATCACCCCCCTCGTGGGAATCCGGTCAAACCAGATTATATGTGACATGACTGCCGTCTTGGGTAGGGCCATTTTGAGCAGGCAGACACGGACTACAAGCGTTTGTAGGGCCCGACAGAGTGCAGAGCGAAAAAAGCGACTATATGTGTGATGCATGTCTTATTTATGGCTTTTTGGAGTCTCGAGATGTAACTTATCTGTTAATGCAGTGTTCCTTTGTCTTATGACTAGCAGTAACTTAAGCCATGTATATTGCCATAGCGTTATATAATCCTTCTGCTCTAGCCCTGGGTGCTAGTGATGGGCCGAGACGCCGAGGACGAGATAAATGACTGCGACCCGATCGAGGCGACTCACTAAATCCCAATCTTCGATGTCACTCAGTAGGCCTAGGCTGCTGCTAGTGGTAATGTGACTGCCGGGTGGACACAGGGTTGACCTTGTTATAGATGCATATTATTCGTCAGGGGTCTTGTATCCGTACTAGGCGGTCTCGGCGGTAGCAAAGATAGGACTTCTCTGACGGCGACTACTGCGCGTGCGGTTGAACAGAAGATGTCTTGGTCCTAGTTTGGCTGCTTGGTCAGCCACCTAACCGACGTGGAAGGGGGGCGGGGGATACCTATATATGATTAATAGCAATGCATGTGCATGTACAGTGCTGAGCACCTATGTGAAGATGCGTTTGGAGGCATGGGTGTAGAGCCTCCTAGAATATCAGAGAGCTGAGGGTATTGTAAAGAAGATAGAGTAAAGAACAGGATTAGGGGGAAACGAGATTGTCGTGTGGGAAGAGAAAGTGCAAGCAAAGGTCTAGACTTCTAGGTGGTGGTTCTAGGTGTAGAGAAGGCTTAGGTTAAGGGGAACAGGGAAGGTCAAGATAATCTATTCATCTGGTAGGCGCAACTAGAAGATTAGGTATTTCCTTAAATTTCCAGGTAAGTTAAGTTAAGAGAACGCCTGAACTAGACGTTATTATAAATATATCTAATTTCAGAACATGGATTTCAGCCTTACCCCTGTTATCTAGTGAAGTATTATATGTGATGCGATATGAGAAGTGAGTTCTGTTGTGTTTTAAGAAGGATATAGAACACCTCGATAGCAGAAACGGCAAAATCTAGAGGTGTATTACGGTCTAACCATTTTCTTCCGCCACGGTCGATCGAAATCTCAAGGTGATGTGATTTTTAAGTGTTTATAATTTTCTTTGTGTCTTTTGCTTCTAGGCCTAACACAAGTGCTCTGTAGGTACGCTTGTCTTGGCAGATAATGTCCTCATGTAGCTTTTCTGTGAGGCGAGAGTAAGGTGAGATAACTCCCCCACCCCACATCTAAGACACCCCTACTTCTGAGACATCCAAAAATCCCGCATTTCTCCTCCTTTATTAACATTACTACCTTTTTTAAACTATTATAACATTTTACATATATAACTAAACAACACTATTTTTTTAAGATACCTTCTTTAACCTATTATAAAGCAATATACTAAAGATAAGCTTTATTAGGCCTTTTTAAATATATAAAATAAGTATAGTATCTAGGCTACTACTTTTAAATAGGGTATACTATACTAGTTACTTTATTATTAATACTATAGGGAATAAAGTAAAAATACTACTTTTACTTATATATAATACTTATTCTAGGCCTAAAAATATAATCTAGCTACCTATATATCCCTTTAAGCTTCCCTTAGTAAATAAATTACTTATTAATAAGTAAAAGGCCTAGTAAAGTATATAATAAATAATAAGTATTCTTTTATAAAAAAGAAATAGATAGCCTAATTTATATAATAAAATCTATTTATTAGAACCCTTTAACCTAAAGTAATTAATACCTAGTAATAAGTAGCCTATTCCCTTAAGGTTATTAAGAATTTTGTTAGTTATTACTAGGGTGGTAATATAGTTAACTATATATATTAATAGGCGATTAATAAATAATAGGGGTAACTAATGGTTCTAAATTATGCGTTAAGGAAAGAAAACTATTATAGGATTATATAGTAAATTCTCTACGTAATATACCTATAGATCTAGTAGATCTATAGTAAATTAGCTATAGTTATTCTAGCTAATTAGCGTTAATCTATACTACTAATATCTAGGTAATAGTTAATATTATAATACTAGTAACTTTCTAAAGTATTATAAATTATTTCTATTTTTTAGTTATTTATAAAAGGCCTAGAAATATAATAAAAATAAAAGGCTAAAAAGTATTTAATACTTTTTAAATATATAACCTATTATATATATAAAACCTATTTATTTATTTATATCCCTAATTAACTATTATTAATTAACTACTCTAGTACCTTATTTAGTAATAACTTTATAAATTTATTTACTAAGTTATTTTCCCTTTATATTTATTAGATCTTATAGATCTTATATTACTTATATAACTAGTAAAGCGCTATAATATTAATTATAAGTTACTTCTTCTTAGTAGTACTAAGCTTTATAAGGCACTTATAAAGGGAGTATAAGTTAGTATAAAGGATTATTAAGATTTATAGTAACTTAAGGTAGTTAGTAATTATTATAAGTATAGTACTAATTATATAAGTAGTATTAGTACTAGTAACTATACTATAGACCTTAGAGGCTAGTACGCTATATATAACTTTTTTATACTTTATTAAGCTAAAGTAAATAATATTACTAGGTAGTATAAATTTCTTATTATTAGTAGTAGGTTATATAATATTACTTTTATTAGTAAGAATAATAATAAAGCTAAGTTATAAGGTAAAGTTATAGTTATTTATAAATAAGCTATTAATAAAGATAAAGAGCTTTATAGTTATAAGGTTAATTAGCTAAAAAAGTAGGCTATAGTTAAGGTAACTTATTTACTATTTAATTTAGTAATTAAAAGTCTTAATCTTTTTCTCTATAGGCTCTTAGTATTATGTAGTAACTAAATAGTTAAAGTAATCCTTAGGTTAATAGATTAATATAATATATACTCTATAGGCCCTTTACTAAACAAAATCTTG